CCAAGACGGGATCACTCATCCGTGTCGGTCCTTCAATTTAATCACATATAGATCTCAAACATGGTAAATTATTAAAAGCGATGAAATACACAGTACATGATCCCCACCTGGAAACTGGCGAATGCGGATGCTGAAATATCTGAAATATGATGTGTAGCAGGCGGAGGCTCGACTCTGCTCAAGCTACAAATTATGAACGAAATATTCTAAGTACTAGACTCATAATAAAACTCAAATCTTTAATATCTTATTGTCTAGGTTCGCTCACTCTGCTTTAAAAAATCATTTTAGGGATTTACGAGCTGATTTTGAAAATATTATTGTCTTTGAGGCATTCTAGAGTTCTTTGAAATATTTCTAAGTCTGGAACTAAAATTTGACTTAATCTAATCTGACTGAAAGAAACTATATCTGGATCTTAAATCTATCTGGAATCTTAACTTTATCTGAAATCTATCTGAAATATAGATCTGCAATTCTATCTCTGAAATTCTATCTGAAATATATATCTAAAATATATTTCTGAAAATCTATCTCTAAAATTTTATCTGAAATATATATCTGAAATTCTCTGTAAACCATCTGGCCTGCTCGGACTGGTTCGACTGAACTGGACCGACGGCTCACTCGGAGCCAGTCGATCATTCGCTTGACTATGTGCAGCTCCGTTTGACCGTGGTCCGGGTTCAGCGTGGCAACTCGGGCCGGCACGAACTCGACTGACACGGCTTAGCCGATCACGGGTTTGAAACGGTGCCACGGTCACTGACGCAGGGGCGTGCTTGGACCACGGCTAACGGAACGACGCGTAGATGGTAGGTCGGATGGACTCGGTGCACGGGCACGCACTCGGAGGTTGAATCGGACTCGGTGCTCGGGCACGCACTCGGCGTTTCGGCTCCAACGGTCAGACGAGGGACGATCACGTGCGCGAGACGACGATACGCATAACGAATTGACAATACGACGGCTAATAATCATCCAGACGGTACTAGGGTTCATACATTTATAATCAGATCCGAAAAAATACCCAGTTATCAGAACCAGATAAAACTAGGGTTCGATTCTCTTAATTCCTAACTCATTTAAGGCCAATAATTAATATACATATTCTATGTGATTTATAATAAATCTGTAATCCACAACTGCAACTAAAATCTCAATCAAACGAGTATTTTATTTTTACCGCATTAACGTCTAAAGTCCCGATTTTTATAACTAAGTCAAACTACATCCAAAATTTACGCAAATCGAAACATAACATCCCCAATATATGTATGGTCCACGGTAAACAAGTCAAGTCCAAGTTCAACTCCTAACTCATACAACTAGTAATCGCTACAATCGGTCAAATACACATAAAATCGGTTCGCCTATCAAACGAACTCCAAATCTTATCATTTTATCCCCTCTACATTAAGAGATCGAAAAATCGATCGTTCCAAGCTCGTAAAATTTTCCATAATTCAAGTTTCACTCAAAGCATCAATTTCACATTTTAAAATTATCTATCAATCATAGTTAAGCCATTTGGAGAATATTCAAGCTAAAGTACCTTAACCGGGCTCGAATCGAAGGTTGAAAAGTCGATTAAACTAAAGAAAAATTATCGGTGAAGCAAAATCGGGTCGTTGTTGCTCAAACGGGTTGAACCGGAATAAATGTGAATT